GTCAAGTTTTTACATAAACCAACAAGCAGACGAGGAGAATATACCACTGACACAGTGTACAGGTCACAGAGTGGTAGTAAGCAGGGAAGTCTAAACTCAAACTCAGGCCCCATCAGCCAACCACCTTGCTCCGACCCACTTTGTACACCTCTGTTGGAGCACCTGTCCCCTCTGTTGGAGCATCCACTCCTGTGTGTCTGACTCGCCCAACCCACTGGGCTCTGATGTCCTCAAGGCAAGGGTCTCCCATATTTGGAATCATACCGTACAGAGTCTGAGATAGTGGCTTTTGGGCTCATTTTTCAAAAGACGGCCCTCAGACGAAACTGTGAGAGGTAAGAGAAGCTAGGGTGGACAGAGAGAAACAGAGATGTGCTTTCAGAAGAAACCTAGCCTCTGCCTGGTCTCAAGGGATCTGGACAGTGGAGTGCATCACAGGGTTTGTTCCATCCACAGCAAAGGAGGCTGGACCCTTCCAGCACCACGCCATAAATCAGTTGGGCCTTTCCCTACAAGTTGAGCCCATGCAGGGGAGATGAAATCTCCTGGCAGCTGAGGGCTGGTAAGGCCGCTCCCACCAGGCAGGGTGGTGCTCTAAAGAAGAGTGTAGCCAATGTCCACAGCACCCAGGTGATGAACGCATCCCCTAGATGGTATGCCAACAGCATCTGTCTCAGTCATTAATTTGAAAAACAGCGCATGCAGGCCCTCTTTATCCAGGTAAACAAAGCACATCTGCAGCCCTTTTTATACAAAAAGGAGCTCTTTTCACCATCAACAGTGGGCACTCCGAGAATGCAAGTCTAACGAATCAGTGAATTAGAAGTCACTCAGTCTACTGCAAGGCTGCCCACCCTGCCACCTTTTCTCTCCAGAGACCTGGGCTGTGTGGCACAGGCTTCTGTGTGTGTCTGACATACACCTTTCCATCTGAAACACGCAAACTCCACTACAGAATATTAACTGGAACACACGCTTGCTCTCTGGGGCTTTCTTTTAGCACAATCCTGCTTCCAGGGAAGGGAGAACAGGAAATGAGCATGATGGGATATATATATATA